TCAATTTTCATTGCAACTTTTCGTTGTCCATTCAGCACCGTTCACCGTTCATTCTTACGACATTTTAAAATTTCAAGTCTCCTCTTTATTTTAGGGGAAAAAAAAAAAAAAGAAAGAAAAAAGAAAAAAAGAAAAATAACCCTCAACTAGTTGCAACTCTGAATTGCAATTAAGTGTGCAAGTAAGAACAGAGGAGCGTGTTACATGGATGTTTTCACTAGGTAAAATTAAATATTATTAATTCAACTTATTCCTACACGATAAACATGCAAATGAATAAGTAAATATTCCAAGCGTGTAGTATATTTGTTTAGTTCAATTATTCTTTAAATATATTCGTATATTATTAGTATTTATTCTAAATATTCTTTGCGTTAGTATTTTAATTGCACAACATAGTTCCGAATCACGTCAGATGAAATAATAAAAAGGAAAGAAAAAAGGTAAGATATAAATGAGATGATAACGATTAAGATGGTGGTGATGATATATCGATAGCACGAAAGGAGCTCCACCAATTATATTATATAATTATATTTCATTTATATAAAATCATTATTTCATTTATATAAAAGTCCATTTAAAACATTTTTTGAAAAAAATCAACCAATTTTGAATAGTTTATTATCGTTTATTGAAATACCGTTATGCATAAAATCTCAAAGTAAATCTTTAAGTAAATTTAAATATATTGAAGGAATTTGAAAAATTATTTACAAAATTACATATTATCAAATTAAAAACCAATTTATTAATAAAATTAATCATTTCTATGAATAAAATTGATAAAGAGAAACTCAGAAACGACTTAAATATATGTTTGAAATATATAAAATACAAAAATAAAGTGTGTGTGTGTGTGTGTTATATCAGCTGAACAATTCAACCTAGCTGGACGAAGAAAAGCGTCAGCCATGTACGAGTGACGGGACGCGGAACGTGTTAAAGGTATCCGATCTTCGTGAGCGATTCGAGCAGGAAAATTTTCGACCGTTCATCGATCCACCCATTGCTCCGCATATCGGTCCGGTAGCTGAAAGCACAAATACTCGTTAAGCCAGGAGAGAAACGGAGAACGTCTCTCGATCAACCGTAACCGAATCGAGAATGGCGCGCACAGCGCGACCGCGCAACCGCGCGAGTTTTCTCGGCAATACTGTGCACGTTACACGGTACATGCTATGTCCCGCATCGAGGATATATATGTATGTACATATCGAAGAAGCGAATTCTTTCGATGTCGGAAGACAGTCTCTTTATTCGTGAAACGCACAAACGTCGATCGTGAGAGACGCGAATACATTGTGAACACTGAAAGCGTAGGTCGAGTCGGTAACGATACACGCACAGCGAACACGAGTCAGAGTAGTTGAACTGTCCGCGAAACGATTCGATCGGTTCTCAACGACCTCCAACCTTCTTCTTCTATCCTCTCTCGCTCCCTCTCTCCTTCTCTCGCCGTCTCTCGCACACCTGCCGTCGAGACAAAGCTGTCAACATGGCGTATAGGTATCGCATTGTTTTATCGCAATGTCACCGTGGCGGAGAACATCGTGAAACGAAAGATAACCGTTAGGTAACGAGGACGTCGACGACGAGGACGACGACGAGGACGACGACGAGGACGACGACGAGGACGACGATCCTAAGAAGAGGAACGGTTTAGCGCGGTTCAAACGGCCAAGTTTGGCAGTCGATAAATATCCTGAACGTAGACCGCGTTGCCCTCGTGTTTCCGGCGTATATGCTTCTGTATGTTGGACGTCTTTTTCGAGATCAAATCACAGTACGGACACTTGAACCGCGGCGGTTGGCCACACTCGTATCTCAAGTGAGTAAGGAGACTTCGTTTCTGGCCGAAAACGCTCGTGCAATTGCCGCAAGGATACCTCGTACTGTTCGGTACGAAACTCCTGTAAAGCCTGTCGCGTTGTCCTGCATTCAATAACATTCTTGACGTGGCAAATCGTTTGAAACCTGAAAAAATTCAGTGCCAGGTCAGTACAATTTTACAAAGAGCAACGAAGGAGCGCGGTAGTAAGCGTTTCGCTGTTTAAAAATTAAAAGGCGACAACGTTGGTTGGTTCGCGTAAAGGAGGTGCGCGTGCGCACGCGCGCGAGTACTCTGTATTTTCTGCTATCGAAAAATGTTTATCGCGAGGCGAGCAACTCTGCTGGATAAAACGGTGGAACGTTGCCACGCGTGCCGCGTACCAGTTTTCTCGCAGACCATAGAAAAGAAAGAAAGATATTTCTGGCTCAAGTGACAACAATCATGCTAACGAAAAAGATAACGAAGAAACGAAAAATCCCAGAGAACGCAAAGAACCATGACTCGCTAGGAATGCGACTGATATTTTCGAAAGGTATTTTATTCAGAGTAAGATCGGTAACAAATATTAAACAGAACGAATCGACAACAACGATTCGTCTTTGAACAATTACGAGAATCACTGAATTTAATTTGCGTTAACGTCGACGATTTTCGAAATGCAAGATTTAAACGTAAAAATGCCTTTTTCTCCACGATACTCGTCGAAATGTGCATCTTTCTCTGTTATCGAGAAGAAGCGCCGTCTCTCGTATAAATTTATACGAGACAAACTCGGCGAGAGACGACAGTAGCAGCGTCAGCGTCAGCGTCAGCGGCAGCGGCAGCAGCAGCAGCAACGGCGGCGGCGGCAGCAGCAGCAACGGCAGCGGTAACGGCGACAACAGCAGCAGCAACAGCGACGATGATATCAACGTCGTTCTAACCAACAATTAGACGATTCTACGAAAGATGATCGCGTCAACTTTATTCTCGCCCTATTTATCCGATGAAAATTATACACGCTCGAAGGAAACGTTAACGATACTTGGAAGCAGTAATCAGAAAATACAGTAAAACTTGTAAATAAACTTAAGGGATATGTATCAATCGTGTAACGACCTCTTTCTTCCTCTCCTCTTTCTTCCTTTAGCTGTCTTCTACTTGTCCCTCGTATCTTGGCTTTCTTTCGCTTTAATCATCGTCATCGTGGTCGTGGTCGTGGTCGTAGTCGTAGTCGTGGTCGTGGTCGTGGTCGTGGTCGTCGACGTCATCGTCATGGTCATCATCGCTATCGTCGTGGTCGTTAGTAACGAACTCTGGACAATTGCTTGTACAAATCGATGATTTGCAGTTTTTCATCCTTGTGCATCCGTCGCACGTGGACGTACATGTTGGAAGAAAATTTCGCCTTCTTCGTACAATACGGACATTGATATCGCGGCTCTTTACCGCATTGAAAATGACAGTGCGTTTTCATATCCGATAGTCTGGTGTAACCACTGTTACATCGGGGACAGTAAAACTTTTTCCTCGGTACGGAATTCTGAACGGCGACACTGTCGGGCCAGTGATTTCTGGAAACGGGGGGTGGTATCGGTGGTTCTTGACGACAACCGACTTCCATGTAGAGAAACGACGATTCGTCCTTAGGATCTTTGCCGGAATCTCTTCTATGCTGATAGCCTTCGACCTGGGACATGGCTCTTCCCCCTCCTATCATTTCAGCCCGAATAAACGACGAGTGTAACTGCCCGTACATCGGATCTAGAAAAAGAATCGAATTTTTGTTGCTAATTAATGGAAATAAAACGGAACCAACGAACTGACGACATTGCAGAGAAATACATTTTCATCCATGCTCTGAGATCATCTAAGCGCACGAGTGCGCGCCTTTCAGCTACTTCTCGCTTCTAATCGAGCCGAGAAAGTTCTGTACACGAACAATTCGTACTCGATTACTTTGCTCCTGGTACTATGTGTGTCTCGTGAATAATAACTTACAAAACGTGAAAATGAGAGCAAGAGGGAAGGGGTAACTCGGGAGACAGGAAACGAGAGGGGACGAGAGTAGATGGAAGAGAGATGCGGAGGCAGAAATCAGAGAACTGGATCAGAGACTCGGAAATCAGAGAACGAGCATACGTTGCGTTGCGTTATGTCGGCGACTATCTCTTTTTTTTTTTTTCTCTCGTCAACGTTACCATCACTACGCGAAATTCTACGATGGACGAGTTTTTAAGTCGCTTGATTTATTTATTAAGATTATCTTATACACAGAGGCCAGTTGGGGTTATTCGTTCCACCTATCTCTCTCTCTCTTTCTCTCTCTCTCTCTCTCTCTCTCTCTCTCTCTCTCTTTCTCTCTCGTGTCGTAATCGTTCGTCGTCGTCGTCGTCGTCGTCGTCGTCGTCGTCGTCGTCGACGTCATCGTCGCCATCGTCGTCGCTTTCTATCGGCACGTGAATAACTCGAACAAGCTTACCTATATATATATATATACCTATATATCTCGATCACGCTGATAATCTTTCGGCTGGTTATCGACACCTCGTCCAATATCTGACGGTAATGGAATTTAGTTATAGGTTAAAACAAGTTAAAGCGCATACGAAACAAATGGAAACATTTTATTGAAACAATATCAAATCGCGCAACGGTATAACATAAAAAACATTCTTTAGATGAAAAAAAAAGATAAGTACAGCGCGTAAAAATATAAAAATAGTCGAATAGAAAATTAAAAAAATAAAAAAGTCGAAAAATGGAAAAATAGAAAAATAGAAAATACGATATAATAATGATATAATAAATTGGGGAGAACGGAAAGACCCCTGTCTAGTAATTAAAACCGTGCTATAAAATATAAGATACTATAATATCCGATAATAAAAACTCACAAATAATAATACTCCGTCATGTTTTAGGATAATTGCACAATTGAAATAAAAGAAACGAAAAAAACGATTCCTGATACTAAACGAAAAATAACTATAATAAATTAAAGAATGGTTAAATAAAAACAATAATTACATACAAGGAATAAAAACAATGGCAAAAAAAAATAATTAATCGCTGAAGTTCGTTTTCGAGCTAAAGTTGGGATAACTGGGACCAGAAAAAGATATTTCAGTTGAATGTTTGTTCTTTCAACCGAAAACCTCTTTTTCTTTAATCTGTCTTCCTTTGTTTTTGTTCTGATTCCTCCGGCCAACTTTTCTTCATACTCTCCCGCCGATCTTACTCCAGTTGCTTTTGAAGCGAGCCTTGTTGCACGGTGAGATCATCATTAGCATATTATCAGTTAGTTTGGAGTACGTTGTTGCTTCCGTGGGTACTTTCTTCCCAACTAAGCTTCAGTTCGATTAACTCTCTTTCTAACGGTCTATTTCTCTCTTCAGACTAGTTGGGAGCAACTTTTTCTGTCTCCTTTTGTTTCTCTTTAAGCAGCTGCTTTCGTTGTTCCGCTTTCTGCGTACATTTGGTTAGGTGTCTCGATGGCAGAGAGGCACCTGTAAACGTAATCTTACAAATTGGGCAGGTAATAAATTTTTCACAATCGTGTCGACGGTGATATACCAGTGACTTCTCTTCTTTGAAACGACGACCACATTTGCAAATAAATGAAGTCTCCTCGCTACTGTGAATCGTCGATTTGGGATTGTGAAAGCAATTACTATTCTTGTGACGAGATAAATTGGTAGGTCGTTTAAACCGTTTTGTACAATACTCGCATCGGAAAGGAAACGCATCTTCTCCCAAGTCGTTGGTATCCATCCACTTATCTTCGTCCACGTGATTCTTACTCGACGTGGCAATATCTGGATGTTCGTCAGTTCGTGAAATAACAATCGTAGAGTCGGATTTGTTATCCATGTCGTCGGTAATCTCCAGTATCCCCGGAGAACTCGAATTTACGATACTCTGAGAATTCTCATCCGACACATCCAGTACGTAATCGGTAATATCGTTGCTGAAATTTGAACACGATTCTTGGTCGGTGCTATTTTCTCCAAGCAGCATTTGCAGGCCGGTCTTGTCAACTTGGTCAATCCTATCAGATTCGATATATTTCTCCGCGATACGCGCACTACGGCGGTGGATATTCACGACTAACGTATCGAGCTGGTCCTCTTGGTTTCGCGCATCGCTGCGCTTAGTCGTACTCCGGTGAATGTGAACATTGTCACTTTTATCCACATTGGGTTTATCAAGTGCCAGGCGTCTCTTTTTCCTAGCTTTAGGAATATCGTTCACGGTAGACGCATCCGTGTTGGTAACTTCGTACGGCGTATCGTCGGATTTAGCAGGTGTTCTAACCCGTCTTTTCTCCTGCACCTTTCTATTCGCTATATTTTTCACTATGTTACTTTGAGGACGTGTTTTCTGATTCGATATAGTAGGAGTAACTTGCGTGGACGAAGCATCGAATTGCTCCTTTCTGTCCTTCGAATTGTCCAGTTGAACGGGTATTGCGCGTTTATTTTCGTAATGCGTAACAGAAGCGTGATCCACGGCAGACGCGTCACGCCGTTGGTTCCCTTCACCGTTCATTATCATGCGATATTCGTTGCGTTCGCGGTTATCAGTCCTCCTAACCGATGCTTCTGTGTTATTGCACTCGTGATTATCGGCTTTTGCAACACGTGCCTCCTTTTGCTTTCCTTTCGATACCAGCGTAATGGACACTTCGCTATTGCATAGACGCTTGTAAATCGGGGTAAGAAAGTTCTTTTCGTTGCGTTTCAAAACGGAATAAACGGCAATAACTTTGCTACCATGTTCAGTCGATACGCTTTCCGTAATAATCGCCTCTTCGTTACAGTTTTTTTCCTTCATTGTTACAAGCTTGGATTTGCGCGCCTTCTTGTTAGGGCTGCTGCTATTGGTTTCTTCGTCGTTGCGATCGACCCGTTTGCGGCTCCGGTCACGGTCCTCACCGCGATCGCCATCTCCATCTCCATCTCCATCTCGATCGCGATTGTAATCATGATCGTCGTTATGATCATGATCGCCAGAAGCGACGGCACGTGCCTTTCTCCTACGTTCGTTCTTATCTACAACGATAACGCGTGTGCCTTCGCTTAGTTTATGCTGATTGGCTATAGTAGGAGCAAGTGCCTTCTCGTTAGATTTACGGTTCGACGTCATCTTAAGAAACGACTCGCTGTCGAAGTAGTACTGTTCTTCGTTCGCCGTGTTCCTGTCAGTGATGTTTGTACGAAGAATACGCAACTTCTGTACGGCTACTGTGATATCGGTGATAACGCCAGACCTTTTCGTCCTTATTCCTGTAACACAACCAATCGATTAAACGTGCCGACCTCCCCCCTTTGCAATTTCAAAACGACTATAGCTTGTACGAAAATAAAGCGAACGAGTAACTAAAGGACAAGAAAAATAAGGAAACCCATTGTAGTCGTATACATTACAACGCGGAAACAGAGAGGGGCAAATAAAACGAAAAAGGTAAAGAAAAAGAAGAGAGAACGGAAAAGAAACGAGAAAGGAAACGAAAGATGAAACGAGAGAAGAAACGAGAGAAGAAACGAGAGGAAATAGAGGAAAAAATAAAGCAAGACTACTGGCAATCTCACGGATCGCTGTCGTGTTTCGTTTATTCTCCTATACATTTTCCATACAATTTCCATCCAAAAGCAACAATGTCGCTGATCGTTGTTATTTATCCTTTCGAATTTGTTTCCGTAACATGCGATATAAAAACTCGAAGATGGTTGGAAAATCTTCCAAACTCTTGCCCCTCTTTCGCCTCTTGGCGGAGTATTCCGAATCGGTTCCAATATAATTCCGCGTTTCGATGAATAGCGGAAAGCTAGTTGTTGCCCATACGCTCCGGGTACGAGGGTAATCTGAAAACATCGAGCAACGTATCAGCGAACGCATAGTCAAAAGAATAAAGACTCGACAGAGGACGACGTCCGGACGAAAGTAACGATGATAGCGAGGATATAAACGAGCGAATCGAGCACAACTCGAAGCAAAGTTATTACAATTTTTCTTCTTTCCTCCTTGTACTCTCCCCCCTGCCCAGCCCCCTGCCAAGCCCCCTTCTACCACGAATATGCTCTTTCAGCGGATCCGCCTTGTCCCGCGCGCGTACACGAAACAACCGTACGAGGAAGCCAGCTGCTGCTGCTGCTGCTGCTGCTGCTACTACTTCTTCTACGTGAACACGAAATACACTCGCGTAATTTCTCTCCAATGTTCTTCCTTTCTTCCTTCTTTCCTTCCTTTTCGCTTTTCCTCCTCTTTCGTTCGCATATACGGATTAACGGGTCTGGAAACTGCAAGGAGGCCGTTGACGATGTTTTCGCAAGCTGCTACTATGAAGAAAGGTTTTCCCACAGACGGGACACTTCTGCGTTCTACCACAGTCGTGCCTAACGTGGAAAATCAGATGAGACTGTTTCGCGTAACAGGCACCGCACTGACCGCAGGAAAATGGTCGGCTCTTTTGCAACTGATGACACGTCGATCTAGGATTCCAATAGCAGAAACTCTTCTGATGACTCCTCAAATGACCGGAAAGGGTGAAACCCTTGCCGCAGTATTTGCAATTGTATTTTCTTTTCGTGTCGTCCCCACGTATCGAGTCCGCGAAAAGCTCTGCAACATCATCAACGATCAATCATCAGTTGTATTCTCTCGTTCGATTCGTTGAACAACGCGTTCGCGTGAAATTCCTAGCGTATAACAAACAGGGGCAGCAACAGCTTCCCCGTAAATGGATGATTCTTTTTCAACCAACATATTCCCGATACGTCACATATATATGCATATATATACATCTATATACATCTATATACATATGTATGTATGTATGTATGTATGTATGTATGTATGTATGTATGTATACTCGTGGACGATGCAACGCGACGCGTAATTGGCGTTTGAAAACACGGACCCGATTAACGAAATCCCGAAACGATCCGAGCGCGTACATTTTCACACACGCGCGCGCGCGCGCGAGAGCGCGTGCACACTCATACAGAGGGAAATCAAACCAGAAATACGTATAGCGACATAAAGAAATGCGTGCATGTGTGCGTGTATGCGTGTGTATTAAGAAGACAAATACTATTAAACTTGTTAAAAAAGGATAAGAATAAGAAAGGATGCATCCAATACCTTTTTTATTTCTCTGTACGTACAGGCGAGAGCACTTTGCAAAACTCTCGACGAATACAAGTAACGGTTGTACAATATTTTCCACCTAAGAACGGATAAATCGATAAATCGATAAATCGATAAATCGGAGGAAAGAAAACTCCAAGCGACTAAATGTCGCGATCCAACCAATCGGAAGCAGGATAACGAATAAAACGATTAAAACGATTCCGATGATCTAGAAGAAGTTACTTGGACCAGATTAAAAGGAACAAAAATTCTCCCGTCGCTCCTTCTCCTCGAAACAACGCACCCTGCTACCCCGCGTAAAGACGTTTGTCCAAATGAGAGAAATGGCATATCTCTCGCTGTTACCGCAATCCAAACGAACGTGCCACACTTTAAGGATATAGATCCGAAAGATCCGTAAAAGCCTTGATCGTTTCGTGAAACGTCGATCGTGGATTAAAGTAGCAACGGTTGTTTTCATGTTTGCCTACTACTTCCGTTTCGACTGTTCTGCATTCAGATATTATTTTCATTTCCCTGATACACCGGTCAATAACACTGCGTTGAATACGATACTCCTCGCCTAAACTAATCGATCAGCTGTGTATCTTCGACGCGTTATTACGCCGAAATCAAGTAGTCGCGAAACGTTATCTCGTACATAGACAATTACCGATTCCAAGCATCGTTTCGCATCGTTACCCTCGTCGTCGGATTTAATCGTTATAAAACGTCCGTTAGTTACCGAAAATAAAACCACCCTCGATACGTCGATTATCGGACCAACCTGATCTAAACTTAACTCGTAACGATACACTTGACGAGTCGATGGAAAGACGATACGCACCACCCGGATACAACACAGAATGCTTCGTCACGAAGCAATCGTATTTACCATGTCTGCGTGAACGTTCGGTGAGTGGAAAATACGTGGAGTATATTTGACAGAAGAGAATATATGCAAAACTGGGATGATACCATGCAATCGATAACACTTGCAACGATAAAAATTCCATTACACGCGGCAATTGTAATCGATGAACGCTCCCAAGACCGTGTCTACGAAGAGGTAATCGAATCGATATCGAATTAGTGGAAACGGTAAAAAAGATAAAAGGAAAAAGAAAAAAAAATAGGGAAAACGGGATCCTCGCACGAATGCTCCAATGCTAACGAAAGACTGCCGCCCCGCACGCTGCATCGCCCTCGCCTCTAGCTTTCCTCGTCGTCCACCTTCCTTTTTCTTTTCTATTTAATCGTTAACCAATGATCCGAGATAAAGAGTAACCGCGCCAAGGTATCCGACTGGAAACCATATCTTCGTTAACGTTTACACCGATTGTCGTACACCGCGGAAACTATTTAAAAAGCAACATGCACGACACCGCTCTCTGCTTTACCAATACCTCTCTCTCTCTCTCTCTCTCTCTCTCTGGTCTAACAAAGCGGGTTAATCGGGGAACGTACGACAAAGCGCAACAAATCTCGCTCATTCACCGTCGTCCAAACTCTGACAAACGATCGATCGCTCGATTCGAAATACTACTCCATTTTCTACTCTTGTTCGCGTACCGAGAGCGTTTCGCGACACGTCTCGATAGACAAGATCTTCTCTATTTTCGATATGCACGAATTCTGAAACAAAATGAAAAAGTCAATCGTTTAAATTTAAATGTCAATCGTTAGAATATTACCCCCTCTGCATTGACATAAACGTTTGCCTTTGATATACCGCATACTCGGTTGTTTACCTATATATGCGAATCCCTTTACAGTATACGTATATCGCTATGTATTTACACGTATAATAGATGCGTGTGATAACCGAGAATCCTACGATCACTCCTTGCGCGCGTTCGTATCGGAGCAAATCCTTCAGAATTACAGAGTATACTTTCCAGAGGTTAATTCGCTCGCGTAACACGTACTTGCGTATTCTTCGTCTACTATGCTCGTTCTACCATGAAAGGAACCATCCCCTATCGCGATCGACGATTCGTCGAGCCTAAATATGATCAAAGACAGGGGAAAAGGAAAAACGCTATATTTAATTGACGTGTATTCGATTGGCATGTACTTGCTCGCTCGAGCAAGTTGGAAAAAATAGCGCGCCGAATACACGCGGCAGGATTACCGTAAAAACGAATTTCCCGTTGACGATACTTGGAAAAAGCACAGAGACGAAAATATTGAGCGGTAAAGGCAATTCGATATCGATATAACCTCGTCGGTTATTCTTATGAGCGATAAAGTCAGAACGAAAGGGCGGAAAAGAGAAAAGAAAAATTTAGGATAAACGTGAGAATTTTTCTACGCTGCAAAAGCTGACAGGAATTGGTAAAAGTCTGGCAGAGAGACACGAAACGATCGTACGCAACACTCCGCGTAATCGAACGTCTAACGTTGATCTTGATCCACGATCAAGAACAAATCCTCGCCTTTGTGTCTACGTCTGATATGCGTATAAATATTAGGCGGATGTTTGCTTCTAAGACCGCAATACGGGCAATGAAATTTCGGTTCTCGACCGCATGCGATGCGCAAATGAGTATCCAAAGTCCGTTTGTTCTTGTAGCCCTGCGAACACTTTGGACAAACATAGTTTCTCGACTCGGCCCGATTCATCGTTTGCCTTTCCTCGATCGGAAACGAAGGATCCATGAAACAACCTCTAGTCAGATGCCGCTTCAAATGACTCTGAGAGGAGTAAGGACAGTTGCAGAAGTTGCACCGATATTCCCCGACGTTGAAATCTCGAAGCGAGGCTGTAACACACAAGCAACACACTCGATTTACAGTATTTACTTTCTTTTCGTTCCCTCACTTCGAATTGCACTACGCGAAATTTACATTCGTCTCTTTCACCGATCTAACCGAAACCAGCTCGACACGCAGGCTCCAAAAATGTAGCCTTTATTTCAACGATATCGAGAACGCACCAACCAACCCCACGCGTAACCACACTTTTCTTAAAAAGCGATTCGCGTCGATGATGCGTGCCCACGCGGCGTTTTACTACCGATCGTACACATCCTTCCACACCACTAACACTTTTTTCTTCTCTTTTCCTCTTTTCCTCATTTTCTCAAGAAGAATCGCGCGCGTCATCCTTTGGAACAACGATTACTATATTTCTTCCGCTTTTCCTCTTTCC